TTTCCACTGCTTATTCAAGTGACTATTTCCTTTGTAGGTGTGGATTTTGAAAGTCTTTACATGTCAGTATATTTTTTTGATGTGCTTATTTGAGATCCTCAAAGAATTATAGTTCTAATGCAGACTAGAGCTTCTGTGACATTCCTATTGATGTTGTGTTGAATATATTCTATCATTTCAGAGATCTATATTATATATAGCTAGCTCCGTGGGCATGAATTTTATCTGTTTTCCTTTTAGCTGTTATGGTAATATTTGTTTATTTTAAAAGAGTGGAGTAAATTTAATTCAAAACACTTTAAATTGAATATTTTCCTTATACAAAACCAGACTTGCAAAGTTAAAGATTCTACTATTTATATATTATTCAGTTTGTTTTGCTAAATTTGTAAAGTCTCAATCATTGCAAATATATTTTTTTAGGTATTTAGATTAGTTCAGCTATGAAAGTAAGCCTTGTTTCATAAATTGAGCTTTAAATAGTTTTTAAATGAGCTTTAAGTAGTCTTCTGTCCCTCATGATTTGTAAGTTTGCCTGTGGCTCAAGGAGTAGGGCACTAGCCCCATATACTGGAGGTGGTGGGTTCAAGCCTGGCCCCAGCCAAAACTGTAAAAAAAAAAAAAAGAAATCAACAATTTATTGCTTCCATATTATGTGCTAGGCATTTTGCTGGGTGTTTGCAATTCAGGATTTATGAAACAGTACTTGCCCTTGAATAATTCACCCTATCATACAGGAGAAGGTCTATAAACAAATAATTGTGATGTAAATCTTGAAGACAAGGAAGGAGAACTCCTTTGAGAAATGGGGTTGAGTCTGAGAATGAATGCATCTGCTGATCAATTTACAGACAGAGAAGCAGAGAGCTGAAGGAAGTTTGTGCCTGATAGGGTTTTTTCGTTGTTGTTTTGTGTTTTTTTAAATATGTAAAGTAGGTATCTAGGTCATCTCTAAGAATTCACAGCATGGGGTAGCTCTTGAGAAGAGAAGAACAGTGAAGATATGGATAATTAATAAGGAGAATTAGAGATGAGCTAACAAAGACAAGTGAAGGGTGACATGCAATATTGAGAAAGCAGTGAAAGTAGATCTGAAACTGCATAGCATGAAATTGTGGGGGATATCAGTAAGCAAGCACAGGGGTGTGATTTTCTGCAGACAGGGTATAGGTGCAACAAAGCCATTTTATAGTGAGGGCCCATGGGATGGTTAGAACAGAAATATAAAAAGGCCAGGGAGTTAAGAGGCCTTCAAAAAAAGTATAACTTACTATAAAAGGAAGTGTGGTTAAAAGGAAATTGATAAACATGGAGAAAGTGAGAAAGTCAAGAAACTGGAGATGAGGATAAGGCTGATACTTTGTAGTCACTCAGCAAATCTTCATTTTGTCCTTTCTGGTTCACCTCTCCTGGCTTGTCTCACCACCACCACCACCACCACTACCACCTGCCTCTGCTATGGTTTATACATATGAATAGTTTCAAATCATGATGCTCACAGTTGACATGGGGGTAGGATTAGGAGCTAGATCCCAGAATCATCATCCAGTATATCTGAGACTTAGATGCTGGCAGTGGCTGGTGGTTTGGGCCTCAAGGAGAAGCTCAAGGCTTATCCCCTTACCTTCCCACCACTCGTGCTTAAAGGATGGGTCAAGGGCCAAAGACATTTTATTGAACCATGGTTCTTGGGGCAGAGATTTACTCTGTGTTGAGAAGAGTTAAGACTAATCCTTCAGGGGTTTCCACCAAGTTTCCTTCTCCCACAAGCTTAACCATAGCACAGATCTTATTCTTTTCAAGGGTTTAAAAGGGAGCCCTAAAAAAATTTAAAAAAAAAAAAAAGGGAGTCCTTTCTTGGCATAAAGATAGAAGGAAGTAAAGACCCTACTGACAACCCAAAGGGTCTTTCCCCTCAGAATGTAACGTTTCTAGTAATGTTGTTTGTATCTTGTGATTTATTCTATGTAAGTTATCAAATCTGTTATACTTTTTTCTTAAAGATATAATCTTAAGTATAATCTTAAAGAGATTAAGATTTTTGGAGACAGAGTTTTACTCTGTCACCTTGGCAGAGTGCAGGGGCATCATTATAGCTCTTGGACTCAAGCAGTCCTTCTGCTTCAGCCTTGTAAATAACTGGAACTACAGGAATGGGCCACAGTGCCTGGCTAATTTTTTTTTTTTTTTGAGACAGTTTCACTATGTCGCCCTCGGTAGAGTGATATGGCATCACAGCTCACAGCAACCTCAAACGCTTGGGCTTAAGTGATCTTGCCGCAGCCTCTCAAGTAGCTGGGACTATAGGCTCCCACCACAAACACCCAGCTATTTTTTGGCTGTAGTTGTCATTGTTGTTTGTCAGGCCTGGGCTGGATTCGAAGCCACCAGCTCTAGTGTATGTGGCTGGTGCCCTAGCCACTGTGCTACAGGCACCATGACCTAATTTTTCTATTGTTAGCAGAGACAGGGTCTTGCTTCTGCCCAGGCTAGTCTCAGACTCCTGGACTCAAGCAGTCGTTCCACCTCAGCCTCCTGGAGTGGTGGGATTATAGGGAGACATACTTTTTAATGCTTTCATTTTAAATATGGACAAACCATTTTTCATGGACATGTAACTATTTATATTGCATTTTCAGAAGTTTTCTTTTTCATCCATGGTTATGAGTGTAATACTGAAATCTAATCATCCAGTATTTCAGAGTGCTTTTTTGACTATAGTGTAAAGAAACACCTCATCGGAGAGGAGCCATGTGGCTTAACTGGAAAACTACTAGAAAAGTGAGAGAAAAGTGAGGGTCCCTCGGGTGAGGAAATGGAAACCACAGGTCATCTTCACCTTAAGAAATAGAGTAAGCACTTGTATGGAGTTGGCTAAAAGAAATCCTGGAGAATCTAGATCATCAGTCTTACTAGTTTGGATGTTTATTATTGTTGTTTGTTTTTTTGAGACAGAGTCTCATTTTGTTGCCCAGGCTAGAGTGCCATAGTGTCAGCCTAGCTCACAGCAAGCTCAAACTCCTGGATTCAAAAGATCCTCTGCCTGGTGGCACCCATGCTCTTTGGATAGGGCACCAGCCACATATACCGAGGCTGGTGGATTCGAATCCAGCCTGAGCCAGCTAAAGCAACAATGACAACTGCAACTAAAAAATAGCCAGGGCTGTGGCAGGCGCCTATAGTCCCAGCTACTTGGGAGGCTGAGGCAAGAGAATCACTTAAGCACAAGAGTTTGATGAGGTTGCTGTGAGCTATGATGCCATGGCATTCTACCAAGGGTGACAGAGTGAGACTCTGTCTCAAAAAAAAAAAGATCCTCTTGCCTGAGTCTCCCAAATAGCAGGGACTATAGGCACCCACCACAATGCCCAGCTAATTTTTCTTTTTTTGAGATAGAGTCTTACTATGTCACCCTCGGTAGAGTGCTGTGGCGTCACAGCTCACAGCAACCTCAAACTCTTGGACTTAAGCTATTCTCTTGCCTCAGCCTCCCAAGTAGCTGGGACTACAGGTACCCACCACAACGCCTGGCTATTTTTTGTTGCAGTTGTCATTGTTGGTTAGCTGGCCAGAGCCAGGTTTGAACCCTCCAACTTTGGTGTATGTGGCTGGCATCATAACCACTGCGCTATGGGCGCTGAGCCAATTTTGCTATTTTTAGTAGAGATGAGATCTAGCTCTTGCTTAGGCTGGTCTCTAACTCCTGAGCTTAAGCAGTCCTCCCGACTTGACCTCCCAGAGTGCTAGGATTATAGGTATGAACCTTAGTGCCCAGCCTAGTTTGAATTATTGATGGTAGCTTTAAGGCATTTAGCTTTGCTTGCCTAGAAAGTAATTAAATACTACTCTTGAAACAGCTTCTGCATGTGTGTTGCTTTAAAGAAGTATGTCCTTACTTGATATTAGTTACATGAGGTAAGACATTCAGTTTTATCTATGATATCCATCAGGATCCTTTATATTCCTGTATAACCATCTAACTCAGACATATTTGCCATTTTTTCAAGTGCTTGATTATGGCTAACATAGTTTCTACAGCCTAGTGTATAGATTTGTTTTGGGTTAGATGTGCCTAAACACAAATTGTTTGGTTTTTTTTCTCTGACCTTAAAGGATAATGAAAATAAGTAATATTTCCTAATTAAACATTTTCAGAGCTAAAAGTATTCCAAATGATAGCTCAAAATTACTTTTCCAGAGACCTTTAACTAGCAGCCTTTTCCCCTCAAACATTAATCCTATTGTAGAAATTGTTGCTGGATTTTCTTTTTTTTTTTTTTTTTTGAGACGGAGCCTCAAGCTATCCCCCTGGGTAGAGTGCCATGGCATCACGCTCACAGCAACCTCCAACTCCTGGGCTCAAGCGAGTCTCCTGCCTCAGCCTCCCAAGTAGCTGGGACTACAGGCACCCGCCACAACGCCTGGCCATTTTTTGGTTGCAGCCATCATTGTTGTTTGGCAGGCCCGGGCTGGGGATTCGAACCCACCATCCTTAGGTGTATGTGGCTGGCGCCTTAGCCGCTTGAGCCACAGGCGCCGAGCCTGTTGCTGGATTTTCAATTGCTTGTTTATGTTCATGGCATGTGGATATTGATGTATGTAAATGGCATTTTGATATCACTGTGTTTTTTCTAAAGTATGTGTAAAGAAGAAAGAAGCTGGGGTGCAGTAGATCATGCCCTGGCATCCTTGGGAGGCTAAGGCAGGAGGATTGCTTGAGCTCGGAAGTTCAAGGCCAGCCTGAGCAAGAGTGAGACCCCATTTCCACTAAAAAAAAAAAAAAAATTAGCTAGGCATTTTGGCAGGTGCCTATAGTCGCAGCTACTTGGGAAACTGAGACAGGAGAATCAGTTGAGCCCAGGAGTTTGAGGTTGGCTGGCACTCACTCTAGCCTGAGCAACAGAGTGAGATTCTGTCTCCAAAAAAAAAGAAGAAAACTTTCCTTAGTCTTACTTGGAATTTACTTAGTTGACATAAGACTGTTTTCTTCTCCTTTTCAGGTTGTAAACATGTTAAAGGCATCCTATTATATGGACCCCCAGGCTGTGGTAAGACTCTCTTGGCTCGACAGATTGGCAAGATGTTGAATGCAAGAGAGCCCAAAGTGGTCAATGGGCCAGAAATCCTTAACAAATATGTGGGCGAATCAGAAGCTAACATTCGTAAACTCTTTGCTGATGCTGAAGAGGAACAAAGGAGGGTAATGTGAATATAAATACATTTCAGTAAAAGTTTGTTATCACTTACAGAATGAGCAAGACTCAGAGTTATGGAGGCAAACTTGTTGATACTTTGACCTGTATTTTGAAACAACTTTCAGGTAGAACTTGTTTAGTACCTAGTTTATATATGGCAGTGCACTTGGGATTGTGGGGGATTTCTATGGTATGAGGAGATTTCATTACCCACGTGTTCATAACACAAGGGTAGATGATTGTATAAGCCGAAAGTTTGATAAAAATTCATCATGAATATGTTTTCAGATGACACTTTTATTCACATTATTTTCAGAGACTTGAATTCATTTATCCTCTGAAAAAGCCCATTCTGGAGGGAGGTGCTAAAAACCTATGCAACCCCTTTGACAGGCCAGTAGGAAGAAAGGGAGCCAAGATTCAAGACCTTGGCCCCTAGAGAGAGGACACCTGATGAACACACCTTATTTTAAGTGAGGACCTGAAGGGCTATACCATAGGAATAAAAGTTAACCAGGAATACACATACCCTCCCCCAGGCTACAGATCAGCTTTGAATCACGTCAGTCCATAAAATTAGCTTGAGGGCTCCTAAATTATTTTTTAATAATTTTGTTACTGATGCAAAGTTAGTGTACATTGAACCATCAGAAAGCACAGGTGGACAGCCTGTGATTGTTTGGCATCACTATCATTTCTGACCCTGTGTCTGAATGCTACTGATAAGTAATCATTTTCTTATACTTATTCACATGTAAGTATTTACAGTAAAACATATGACGCATCATTAATGCAGTGAAAAAATGATTTGTTCAGGGTAACTGAGCAGCATGGCAGAATCACCAGAGTACCTACTTCAGCTGTTACACCACAGCAACACCAAACAACAGGCTTTCAGTTTCCACCTATAATATTGTGTTTTGAATAAAAGATCACTGTTTAGTAATTCCCTTTAGGACACTGAATAAACAGTGTTGTGCACCTTTCAGATTTTGGAGCATTTCAAATTTTGGATTTTCAGAATAGGGCTGTTCAACCTGTATACCCATAACCGGCAGGACTCTGAATACAATCAGTTGCCCTATATGAACCCAAAATATTGATTCTAAATTTCAAATACAGAAGAACTGCTGTAAGTTGACCAGCCAAGGGACTAACAAAGTGGTCAACATACAGAGGTAGGCAACATAAGGAATTAGGCCTGATACACATACAGTACATGTGACGCATGTCAGGTCTATGAAAATTAGGTCAGCTTGAGGTAGTCATTGTAGGGAGATGGTCAACTATGGAGGTTCTACTGTACATCTCTAATGGGTTTAAGATTACCATTACTTCTAGTCCTCATATGTACATTTTCAAAACATAATACTTTAAGAATTTGAGGGGAACGAGTGCAGTGGTGGCTCATGCCTGTAATTCTAGCACTCTGAGAGGCTAAGCCAGCCTAAGCCAGAGTGAGATCCCCTTCTCTAAAAATAGCTGGGCTTTGTGGTGGGTATCTGTAGTCCCAGCTACTTAGGAGGCTGAAGCAAGAGAATCACTTGAGCCCGAGAGTTTGACGTTGCCGTGAGCTATGATGCCACATAATTCTACCAAGGGTAACAAAGTGAGACTTTGTCTCAAAAAAAAAAAAATTTTTTTTTGGAAATTATTGGCTTATAATTTTGTTTAAGAGAGGATGACCATCATATATTCCATAATTTTGGAATATTTTCATTTTTAGATTTTTGGACACCTTTTAGAATGGTCAATCCAATTACAAATTATATCAAGAAAATTTTGGCGTACAAATGATATAAAAGATGAAAGAATACTGGTATGTGTCCTTTTAGCAAAGCAGGATGACCTAGTTTCTTGTCACAAAATATTGTACAGTGAAAACTTTGTGTTGATAAGTAACTGGATGAAAATACCGTATTTTCTTTTTGTCCTTAGATTAGAAATATATTACTTACTTGTTGATTCTTGAGTTTGAGAACTCTGTGGAATATCATCATCTGAAGGCGCATAGTCAGATTTTACTTTAATTGATCGATTTCCCCATCTTCATTAGTGTTTCAAGTGTGGCTGTCTCATTCTTTGCATTCTTCTTCTGATTCATCTAACGTAAAACATCTCCCTCTGTTAATTTTCTTTGTTACTCTGGTCAGAAAATTATCAGAATTCTCAATTGTGTTGAATCAAGGCTAAAATCGGGCCACAGAGGTGTTGTCTCCAGAATTCTTTTATACCTTCTTGAAAGGTGATGCAATACTTTGGACAATACAATAAGAAAACTAAAGAATGATGTCATTGTGATATGTATTGTTGGATCATTGGATATGTATTGTTGGATCATTCTTGGGTATTCTTATTATTTTAATCTCATTGTGATATGTATTGTTGGATCATTCTTGGGTATTCTTATTATTTTAATCTCTTTTAGCATACCTGGGAACAGTTGTTGAGTAATAATGACATAATTTCTAGGATGATGAACTAGTATAATATGTCTTAAATTTATAAAAATATCTGGGCTCAGCTTCTGTGGCTCAAGTGGCTAAGGCGCCAGCCACATACACCTGAGCCCAGGCCCGCCAAACAACAATGATGGCTGCAACCAAAAAAATAGCTGGGCATTGTGGTGGGTGCCTGTAGTTCCAACTACTTGGGAGGTGGAGGCAGGAGAATCGCTTGAGCCCAGGAGTTGGAGGTTGCTGTGAGCTGTCATCCCACAGCACTCTACCCAGGGCGACAGCTTGAGGCTCTGTCTCAAAAAAAAAAAAAAAAAAAATCTGGTAGACCCATGGGGTAATTGCAAGATAGAATTAGTTTTATTCTATTTTTAAAAATACATTTTCCTAAGCAAGTATCCAGTGTACTCAATGCTAATATGAAACCAGTAGATGAACAACTACACACCCTCATGAGAAAAAAACTTAATTTAATTCGAGTGGGGGCAGGAGAAGGGAGGGGGATTAGCAAGCTCTCACCTAATGGGCACAAAATGTAGGGATATATGGCACACCTCCTGGGTGAAGGGCTCGACTACACCTTGCACTTTACCTAACAAATACAAACAATGTAACCTAATCATCTGTGCCCTCACATTAAACTGAAGTTAAAAAAAAATCCATCTTTGTTTTCTTCTTTGGAAGATTTAAAAAAGAATAAAAGTCATGAGATATCAATCTTTATAAGTACTTAGAACTGGTCAAAGAAACTTTTTTTTTCTGAAACAGAGTCTCACTTTGTCACCCTCAGTAGAGTACCATGGCATCATCACAGCTCACAGCAACCTCAAACTCTTAGGCTCAAGTGATTCTCTTGACTCAGCCTCCCAGGTGGCTGGGACTACCGGTATCCACCACAATGCCTGGCTATTTTTAGAGATGAGGTCTTGTTCTGGCTCAGGCTGGTCTCAAACCTGTGAGCTCAGGCAATCTACCTGCTTTAGCCTCCCAAGTGCTAGGATTACAGGTGTGAGCCACCGCGCCCAGTCCCAGAAAAGAAAACTCAAAAACAGAGAATTGGGTCTGATGGACCCTGATGATATACCAAAGATTAAGCACTAGACATAGACAAGTTAAAATGTCATATAAAGAAGCATTTTATAAAATCTCAGTTGTGATAGCTTCTGTACAGCTACATAGGTAACTGAGGTGCTGTTTTTAAACTTGTGGGCAGTTAAAATATACTACTGATGATAAACTGAGTTGGCAAAGAATTTCTAGATAGATATTAAGAAGCTGGCCTCCAGTTATATTTTTCTCAATCTTTACATCCAGAAATGGCTTGGTTATACTTAGCTAATGACCCCATGGAGGGGATCTGTGTGTTACATAATAAAGGAAAGCATCACCTTTGTAACTCTGGACAGTCCAAGCTGACAGAGATGAACACTTGCATATAGGTCAGCCTAGTTAAATATAGAACAGCCGCTTTGGAAAGCTGTTGCCAGGGGCTCAACAGCATCAGCTCTGTTTCTATGGAGAAAGACTTGCAGATGTTAAAAACAGAGCTAGAAACCAATGAATTGACGAGGATTGCATTGTGGAAACTTAAATCCTTTGGTAAAAGGTTTATTGATGATGGTTGAACTATGTTAATCTGTAAACATTATTCTTGACATCTTCCTTACCTGATTCCTAATTTATTGCAATAAGAACTTGCCTTTATTTAAGTAACACACCTGTAAAAATTGATGTTATTGTGCTGACTAGGTTGGGGGAAGGGACCTGATGACAGGTAACAAGATTAGTAAGGTTCTGAAAAGGTCAGAATTGTACTAAATTATGTTTAGGACAGATCGTCCTGTGATCATTTAATCAAACACAGTGTTCTTATTGTCTTTGTCCTTGTTCACATAGGTGATTTTTGAGGTTGGACCGAGAAGGGAGTCACGATGCCAGCAACAACAGAAAGCACACTGACAGCAAAATGTATACATTATAGCAGTGTTTCGTTTCAGGCTGTATCGAGCAAACAACCTTGAATTTAAAATGTCTTCACAAAATAATGTAAAATCTCACAGTTTAAGACACAAACAGGATTTTTTTTTTTTTCATACTCAGGATGGCAAGAATTAGTATCCTCCTATACAGAAGTGCTTTGGCAAAGCTAAGGTTGTAGTTCTAATTCCTGATTTTCAGTTTTTTTTAATTGATGAAAAGATGAACTGTTTTGGTATTGAATTTTTTTTATAAGAAAGCTATCATTTATCACTAGACATTTGTTCAATAAATGTAATAATATTGAGAAATGAAGTTGATTTTTTTATATGTGAAATTAAGTTTTAAAATATTTGTAGAAAGAGAACAATTTGTAAGTAATGTTCAGAGGGAAAAAACCTAGTTTGAGAAACTCTGATGGACACGTAACTATCATCTTACATAGAAATTGCATTAAAGACTGATGACTACTCTGAATATGAATAATAGAATGTGTTACTCTATTATTCTGGCTTACAGTTATCATCATGCAGTAAAACTTGGTGAGTTTTTTTTTTTTTTTTTGCAGTTTTTTGGCCAGAGTTGGGTTTGAACCCACCACCCTCAGCATACAGGGCCAGTGCCCTACTCCTTGAGCTACAGGCGCTGCCCCTGTGGGTTTTTTGTTGTTGTTTTTGTTTTGGTAGAGACAGGACTCTAAGATCACTAAGGTCACTAAGTTACTCAGGCACAGTGTTGAGTGTGATGCTCAATGTCTTGGCCCCCCAAAGTGTTTAGATTACAGGCATGAGCCACCATACCTGACCACTTTTATAAATTTTAACATGTATAGATTCATGGAACTACTGCCAAAATCAGGAAACAGAACATTTATATTATCCACCAGAATTCCCTTATGCTGTCCCTTTATGGTCACCTTCCCCTTGCAACTAACTCCTGGTAACTACTGATCTGTTTGCCATCCTTATAGTTCTCTTTTCAAGAATGTCATATAAATGTGATAATACTGTATATAATCTTTTGGGACTACCTTCTTTCACTTGGCATAATAATTTTGAGGTTTATCCAAGTTGTGGCATATATCAAACATCCCAGCTTTATTTTTAAATTTTTATTTTGCAATTCTTGCTCTGTTAATATATCTACTACCTTTAATAAGAAGTAAATAAACTTCTTATTAAAAAAGTATATCTAGCCAGGCGTGGTGGCTCATGGTTGTAATCCTAGCACTCAGGCTGAGGCAGGAGGATCACTTGAGGTCAGGGGTTTGAGACCAGCTAGAGCAAGAGCAAGACCCCCATCTCTGCTAAAAATAGAAAAATAATCTGGGCATTGTGGCTGGTGCCCAACTACTTGGGAGGCTGAGGCAAGAGGATCACTTGAGCCCAAGAGTTTGAGGTTGCTGTAAACTATGACGCCATAGCACTTTAGCCTATACAATAGAGTGAGACTGTTTTATATATATCTGTTTTTCTTCTTGTATGTAAAGCTGTATCTGAGAAAAAATTTTTTGAAGTTATATTCTTATCAGAGTTTTAATAGATATTGACTATATTTGATCTTGTAGTCATTTAACTTTTGTTATCCGCATGATGTCATATTTAGGTTATGTTCATTTTTACCTGTTTTGTTAATCCCTAACAATGTTGTTATTGTTTGAGACAGAGTTTCACAGCAACCTCAAATTCTTGGGTTTAAGTGATTCTCTTGCCTCATGGCCTCCCAAGTAGCTGGGACTACAGGCACCCACCACAACACCCAGCTAGTTTTAGAGATGAGGTCTCACTCTGGCTCAGAATGGCCTCCAACTGATTTGCTCAGGCAATGCACTCCCCTCAGCCACTCAAGTGCTAGGATTATAGGCATGAGCCACCACGCTCAACCTAGTTTTTCTGTTGTTGTTGTTTGGGATTCATTAAGGGTACAAAGAGTTAGGTTACACTGATTGCATTTGTTCGGTAAAGTCCCTCTTATAATTGTGTCCCACCCCCAGTTGTTGTTGTTTAAAAAGAAAGAAAATTCTAGAGTGTACTTTACTCTTCGGTCCATAAGAGAAGACTTAATTACTTTAATATAAATTATTAGAAGGTCCATGTTAAATTAACCCAACTAATTATTAGTGTTCAAAGGTGTTTAAAGCTATTCAAAGTTCAAAATACATGAACCAATTTCTTTTAAAGGTGACTCTATTTCAAGATACCAAAACAAAAATCACTATGCAGAAGAAATAGCACTCCCTGTACCATGTTCTTTTTATCAGCTGTGTCTCTGTACTCACTTCACTGTTAAGGAGAAGTAATCCGCTTTTGTGTGATGTAAGTGACTATGAGTCATGTTCAGTTTCTTCACCCATCTGCTCAATTCCCAGGCAACCTGTGGGTGGAGTGAATCTTTAGCTCTATAATATGACAAAACAAACATTAAACCTGCTGCTTCCGGGGTACTTTTCTCACCAAAACTCTAGAAACATGGGAGCAAGCTGCACTCACTGCCTTAACAAATGTATCTGACAAGTATGAGTTGTTCTTTCAAATAATGAGATAAGAAATGTGTATCAATTAACATTTGGTTATTGGATAAATAATCCACTTTCTATATACATACATTACATATCAGTATATAATGTGTATTTTTGTTTGATGCCTATTAAATATGAGGTTCTAGAATGTATTTAAAGATTGCAGGATTCCTAGATTGCAGTTCCAGCACCAACGAGAGGGGAACAACCACAATTACACTTGCTGTATTAGTCAAAATCAAAGGAACTCTATTAGAAGCTTTGTTTTGCTTTTTTGATTTGTTTGATTAATACTACATTCAAATTATGACCTTTACTATAATTTCTTCCCTTAATAGCTTGGTGCTAACAGTGGTTTGCACATCATCATCTTTGATGAGATTGATGCCATCTGCAAACAGAGAGGGAGCATGGCTGGCAGCACAGGGGTTCATGACACTGTCGTCAACCAGCTGCTTTCCAAGATTGATGGAGTAGAGCAGCTGAACAACATCCTGGTCATTGGTATGTTTACTTTTTTTTTTTAAAGAAAGTATTATTCTTTTAAAACATTGGATACAGATTTTGAATTCAAGCTATAATTAAGAATCTGACTATTTTAATGCCTGGGCTGGAAAAATAAAAAATGGGTTTTAGCAACTTGGAGGCTTAAGCTCAGAGCTCAAAGCTCAGAGCTCACCCACAAATGAAAAGGGCAGCTGTGGTTTACAAACTGGGTCCTGTGGCCTCCAAGGGTCCTGAGAGGAGCTTCAGGGTCAGTGAGAGCCAGGAGATGAGCTTCAGATCCTACATCCTCATTGTAAATTCTTCTTCTAACTTTTTTGTACTGAGCTGCTTCTGAGAATGACTTTTGGGGAAAAAAACAAATTGCTATTTTATGAAGGTTACAGAAAAGGGAAGGGACTTTGGAGTTAGTGAGATCATGTTCATATTGCCCCATCACTCTGACAGGTTACTTACCTTCTCTGAACCCTAAATTTTCTTTTTAAATACTGTGCAAGCTTTCATTACTTTTATGTTCTATTGACTTGTACTATAGTAAAATACTAAAGTAGACTCTCCAGGTATTTTCTTAGTTAAAACAGATCAAGAACAAATGCTATTTTTGAGAATAATTTGGTTTTCTTTTCTTTTTTTGTTTGTTTTGTTTTTATTAAATCATGACTTTGTACATTGATGCATGTATGGGGTTCAGTGTACTGATTTGATACAATGTGAATTGCTTACATTGAACTAAGTAACACATCCATCACAATTATACTCTTAATAGTTTTGAAGAGTACTATTACATCATGCACATTAGATGAGGTCCTCCCAAATGCCCTCCTTCCTCCCACTTCCCCCCACCCCTCCCTTCTCTGTCCTCTTCCCTTCTACTTTCTGGACTATAGTTATGTTTTACCATTCATATGAATGTGTAGGTGATTATATATTGATTTCATGGTGGTTTTTTTTCCATTCTTGAGATACTTTACTAAGAAGAATATGTTCCAGCTCCATCCAGGTAAACATAAAAAATGTGAAGTCCTCATCTTTTTACGGCTGCATAGTATTCCATGGTATACATATACCACAATTTGTTAATACATTCATGGGTTGATGAGCACTTAGGCTGTTTCCATGTCTTGGCAATTATGAATTGGGCTGCAATAAACATTCTGGTGCAAATGTCTTTGTTGTGGAATAATTTTTGATCATCTGGGTATATACCTAGTACAGGAATTGCAGGATCAAACAGTAGGTCTACCTTTAGTTCCTTGAGTATTCTCCAAACTTCTTTCCAAAAAGGTTGTATTAGTTTGCATTCCCACCAGCAGTGTAAAAGTGTTCCCTTCTCTCCTCATCCACACCAATGTCTGTAGCTTTGGGATGTTGTCATGTGGGCTAATCTTACTGGTGTTAGATGATATCTCAAAGTGGTTTTGATTTGCATTTCTCTGATGATTCAGGATGATGAGCATTTTTTCATGTGTTTGTAGGCCATGTGCCTGTCTTCTTCAGAGAAGTTTATGTTCAAGTCTCTTGCCCACATAGAAATGGGGTTATTGGCTCGGCACCTGTGGCTCAAGTGGCTAAGGCGCCAGCCACATACACCTGAGCTGGCAAATTCAAATCCAGCCCGGGCCCGCCAAACAACAATGATGGCTGCAACCAAAAAATAGCTGGGTGTTGTGGCAGGTGCCTGTAATCCTAGCTACTTGGGAGGCTGAGGCAAGAGAATCGCCTGAGCCTAGGAGTTGGAGGTTGCTGTGAGCTGTGATGCCATGGCACTCTACCCAGGGCGACAGCTTGAGGCTCTATCAAAAAAAAAGAAATAGGGTTATTTGTTCTTTTCTTATTGATTAATTTGAGTTCTCTGTGGATTCAAGTTATCAGACCTTTGTTGGAAGCAAAGCCTGCAAAAATCTTCTCCCATTCTGAAGGTTGTCTGTTTGCTTTATTTACTATGCTCTTGGCTATGCAAAAGCTTTTTAGTTTGATCAGATCCCAGTGATGTATTTTGGTGTTGCTTCAATTGCCTGGGGGGTCCTCCTCATAAAATATTCTCCCAGGATGATTTCTTCAAGAGTTTTCTCTGCACTCTCTTCTAGTATTATTATAGTTTCGTGTCCTAAGTTTAAATCTTGCATCCAGTGAGAATCAATTTTTGTTAATAGTGGAAGGGAGGGGTCCTGTTTCAGTCTTCAATAGGTCGCCAGCCAGTTCACCCAGCACCATTTGTGAAATAGGAGTCTTTCCCCCACTGAATATTTTTGATAGATTTGTCAAAGATCAAATGATGATAAGTAACTAGGTTTATCTCTTGATTCTCTATTCTGTTCCATAAATCTACCTTTCTGTTTTTGTGCCAGTACCATGCTATTCTGATCACTGTAGATTTATACTATAGCCTGAAGTCTGGTAACGTGATGCCTCCTGATTTGTTTTTATTTCTGAATAATGTGTTTGCTATTTGAGGTTTTTTTCTGATTCCATATAAAACAAAGCACTATTTCTTTAAGCTCTTTAAAGTATGACAGTGGTGCTTTAATAGGGATTGCATTGAATCTGTAGATTGTTTTGGGTAGTATGAACATTTTAACAATATTGACTCTTCCCATCCATGAGCATGGTATGTTTTTCCATTTGTTAACATCTTCAGCTATTTCTTTTCTCAGAGTTTCATAGTTCTTTTTATAGAGATCTTTCACGTCCGTTGTTAGGTAAATTCCCAGGTATTTCATCTTCTTTGGCACTACTGCAAAAGGAATAGAGTCCTTGACTATATTTTCAGCTTGACTATTGTTGGCATATATAAAACTACTGATTTATGAGTATTAATTTTGTATCCTGAGACGTTGCTGTATTCCTTGATCGCTTCTAAGAGTTTTGTAGTTGAGTCCCTGGGGTTTTCCAGGTCTAGAATCATATCATCAGCCAAGAGTGAGAGTTAGAATAATTTGGTTACCTATTTGATTTTTACAAAATGTCCTCTTAGCTTGTTAGGGAAATGGTTATTCTTACATATGCTAAAGAGACATTTTATCTTAATTTTGAATTCTCATCATTTTTTTGTTTGTTTTCTTTTAACATCTGTGTTCAGGAATGACCAACAGACCAGATCTGATAGATGAGGCTCTCCTTCGACCTGGAAGACTGGAAGTTAAAATGGAGATAGGTAAGCAGATCTGTCACTGATCAGTGTGCATGTAGGTGTGGCATTTAGAGTTTATTAACAGGAACAATGTCATTTGACTTAATGTTTGTTAGAAAATATTTATATCATGAGAAGCCATGTTTACATGCTTGAATAAGAAAAGCATTAGGATTACAATAATCTCCTCTGATGTTGTTTTCGAGACTAGGAAAATGTCTGTTTATTTTTAATTTTGTCAGGTTTGCCAGATGAGAAGGGTCGACTACAGATCCTACACATCCACACAGCAAGGATGAGAGGGCATCAGTTACTCTCTGCTGACGTAGACATTAAAGAACTTGCCGTGGAGACCAAGAATTTCAGTGGTGCTGAACTGGAGGGTCTGGTGCGAGCAGCACAGTCTACTGCTATGAACAGACACATAAAGGTCAGGAAATTCAACTAAATAGGTTAAGAGTTTATAACCCTATAAATACCATGCCAATATTCTTTCTCTTTCCTTTTAAGCATGCCAGGGGCTAGAGTATTACTGACTTTTGATAATTAAGAAATGGTAAAAGGAGTAAGAATTAATCATCAAATGTTAAATCATCAGAGGAGCAGGAGGAAAGATAAAGTTAGTATCTGCCCCATCACAGACTCATAAGCCTTAGGTTGTCTCCATCTGACCCAGACACGTGAAGGAAAGGTTTTTAAAGAAGTGTTATTTTAATCTTTGCACTGTATTAAGTTGTAATATGTCATAGGAAGTTGGATTTCTATGTACTAGAGTTATCATTCAGCAAATATACTGAGAACTTGCTCTTTTTGAAAGAGACACAAAGATAATCATGACTTCTCTCAGGAAGTGCAGAGTCAGGGAAATGAACACATTTTGAAATTAGTATAATAATGTTGTTGCAATAATGTTATGATTACAGTAATGTTATATTTACCCTTGGCACGTGCTTGGTCTTTTGCCATGTCTTCTCTTCAGGTTTTAGTTATCCCCTGAAAATAGGTAACTTCCAGATTTATATCTCAGCTCTTAAAACTATCAGTCTCCCATTTTCAGTTTCGTGCTAAATAACCCACCTGGATGTTTTATCAGGTCTCAAATTTAATATTTCATTCACTGACTTTACTTATTTCCTTCCTGCTCCTATTTCCCTAAATTATCCCAGTTTCCTAGGCTTAAAACTTCAGGATTATGTTTGATTCCTGCCACTTCACTGTGTCCTACATCAAGTCATTTGCCAAATTTTGTACTGCCATTACCCACTTACTCTTTGATTCACCTTCCTGTTGCATGTGATTCTACCATTCAGACATTTTCAATGACTCCCCATTGTTTACAGAACAAACTATAAAGTTACCTTGGTCTTTTAGGTCCTCTAGATCTGACCCTAACTGGCCTTTCTCAATATATTCCCAGTCACTCTCCATACACTTCAGGCAAGCTGAAATACTCACTGGTCATCAGACATTATTTTTCAGTCTGTCTGCTTTCAGTGTGGTGTTTTGTTTGTCTTTGCTTCATTGAGGTTCTTCAGCCTTTGTGTTGCCTGTCTTTTCATTACCTGCCGCATATGCTCTGGCTTTCTTCCGACCTCTTCTTATTTTCCCTTTTAGGAGTGATGTACTGCTTTCCTTCTTGAAACAGCAATATATCACATATGGAACCTGTGGTTCAGAATAGATTTATTCAGCACCTACTGTACAGACACTATGCTAGAAGTTACTACACAACTGCAAAAAAGTAAATTGCCTGCCCTTGAATAGCTCACTGTCCAATCCTCCACATGCAGTAATAGAAAGTACTTGTAAGGTAGGGAGTGAAACCGTGTCAGATGTGGTCAACTTGTGGGGCCAGAGAAGCCTTCACAGAGGAATTTTCTGCCTGGATATGAGTGTCTCCAGGTGGAGTAGGGCATTTGGGGTAGAAGAAACAACATATGCAAAGGAACGGAGGCACAAAATCGTGTGGTGTGTCGGAGTAATTTAGCATTGCTTCAGCACAGGAGTTAGGGGAGGGCTGGTAGAGAAAGACATTGTGGGGATAAGTCAGGGAGTTAAGCAGGGATAGAGCACAAAGAGCCTTTTATACTCTGCTAAGAAGTACGGACTTCTTTTTCTGTGAGTAATGCTAAGCCATTGAAGAGTTTTAAGAATAGCAGTGACATAGTGTTAAAACATAAGATCCCTTTGGCAGCTGTGTCGAGTGGAGTATTTAGAGGAGTGGAGTTGGTAACACAAGAGAGGGGAATTTATATAACAGTTTAGGCAGGAAATTATAAAAGCCTGAACAGTTAGGCTGTTAGGATATCTATTCACATACATCCTATTGCTGGTTCTAGAAGAGGAGTCAGCAAACGATGGTCCAAGAGCCAAATATAGCCAATCACCTATTTATAATTTTTATAAATAAAGTTTTGGTGGGAAAATAATTTACATATTGGCTATGACAGCTATTGTACAACAGTGGCACAGTTGAATATTTTCAACAGGAACTGCATGGCCCACAAAGCCTGAAATTACTATCTGACCCTTTACAAAGTTTGCTGATCCCTATTCTAGACTTTAAGTCCATATCTTAACAATCTCTGAAATACACTACAATATCCTAAGTAGGTCAAAATACTGAGCACTGTGCACATAAATGATGGGTGTTCAGTAAATATTTTTTAATGAATGAATTTACATTCTTAGTCAAACTACATCTCTTAAGTCATAATTTTCCTACTTAATAAATGTGGCTTTGTCATAGGTCAGAAATACCTAAGGCTTGCGTAGTGTGGGAACTTAATCTTGGGTCTTTTATGGAATAGATCCATTAGAGACTGTTTTGTTTTTTTAGACAGTCGCAAGCTGTCGCCCAGGATAAAGTGCCGTGGCGTCACAGCTCACAGCAACCTCAAACTCTTGGGCTTAAGCAATTCTCTTGCCTCAGCCTCCCTAGTAGCTGGGACTACAGGCGCCCGCCATGCCCGCCACCGTGCCTGGCTATTTTTTTTTTTGTTGTTGTTGTTGCAGTTGTCATTGTTTTTTGCTGGCCTGGGCCTGGATTCAAACCCACCAGCCTCCGTGTATGTGGCCAACACCCTACTCACTGAATTATGAGTGCTGCGTAGAGACTGTTTTTCCTTCCTCCTTGTTATAAAAAATGTCTTAGTAAGAAGTGATGGTGATATTTAAAAGTTTACGTAAATAATGTAAAATTTGCTCTGTACTATATTTTCATCTTTTGTCTCAGACCACATGAGGCGTCTTTTTTTTAAGGGACAGGGTTTTACTCTCAGGCTAGAGGGTAGTGGTATGATCGTAGCTCACTGTAACCTGAAACTCCGGAGCTTACAGTCTTCCTGCCTCAGCCTTCTGAGTAGGAGGATGACAGACACGAGCAATAATACAAATGTTGCCCAGACTGGTCTCAAACTCCTATGATCAAGTGATCCTCCTGCCTCAGCCTCCCAAAGTATTAGGATTACAGGCATGAGCATCTGCAGTCAGCCTTGATATAATCTACAATGACTAGTTTACTAGTTATCAGATTTTTTTCATATGCATTGGCCATGGGATTTTTCTGTTACTTAGTCATTTTTCATTTTTACTGTCGTAATCCTAACCCCAAATATCACTCTAAGCCATGGTCTCACTAAGAGACACACTTTCTTCAAGCATATATCCCATTTATCTACATCTGAAGTAATAAGGAATGGGACAAAAATGGAAGATTTTGTAGTCAGAAGGTGTGGTTGTGTATTACATTCCTTTCACTTTATTTATTTCTGACCAGTCAAGGGAGAGGGAGATACCATTTTATTCCCTTACCACTTTTATGAGAGATTTACAAGATGTAGTTCAAGTAATTCACATTATTTCCCCCACTTTTTCGAATGGCTATATTCTCTTTAAGTTTCAGGTGATACATATTGATTTGTGACCAATACCCTTTGTACCAAAAGAGATATTGCTAACATTTGTTTCCTTTCCTGCATTAAAAAAAAATCCACCTTATCGGAGGTCTTTCTTTTTTTCTTTTTTTTGCAGTTTCTGGCTGGGGCTGGGTTTGAATCCACCAAACCCAGGGGGGCTAGCGCCCTACTTGTTGAGCCACAGGCGCCGCCCCGGAGGTCTTTCTTGAAACCCTGTTTTTCTAACAAGCCTCCCATCAGCTGAACAAAAGATAGTTTTAGTCTTCCCATTGCTGTAGCGGTTTATAACTATAAAGTGTTGATTGATGAATAATTATTTAATTTGAAATTTATGATAAGGTTGTTATAGAACTTTAAAACATTCAGCTGTTTGCTGATATTCTTTCTTCATATTATAAAAAGCAATTAGCACTGTTATTTTGCTTCCCTTTCAAAATATTTAGGCCTAAAGAAAGATTTAGTCAGATGGACTAAACCAGTCTTCCCTGTTAAACTGTTTTTTCAGGTTTTCTGAAACAAGTGGAAAATCTGGTCATAAACACCTGATGTTCATGTCATTTGTATTTGAACCCATGTTTGCAGTCAACTAAAATTCATATGACATTTGGTTGTTTTTATCGTGAAAGGAATTTCTCCTTCAGGTAGAGAAGATTCATAACCGAAATTTCTTCTCTAATCTGTTGTGAAATTGAAGACACACAAACACACACTCCCAGCTGAATCGAAGCTCTGAGTTATGTTTGCAGAATTTCAATACAATTATTGCTTATTTTCTGTAGAATTTTTGATTGATTAAGGTCACTGTACCCTTAATTTAAGAGGAATGATAAGAACTTTGAAAGGTCAGGTTTAAAAGGTTATGAAATTTAAGGGTGACCACTTGGTATTTGCTAGTGTTGAAATACAAGTTTATTAGTTTCTGCAGGTATAAGCTGAAAGATGCTGCCTCTTCTATATTGATTAGCTGTTATAAATAAAATGAGGAAAAAAATCTTACTAATTCAAACAAATGAGAAAAGGTTTTCTGAATGAGTAAAAATTCAGAATTGTAGGCTTGAAAATAAGATTTTACAAATTTTGACAAAATGCTAAAAGTTGGCTAAGAGAAGTCCTTTGAAAATTTATTTTAATGAACAAGTAGGAATAATTTGCAATTAGAATACTGGTGGCTTACAATAATGTAACTTCTAAAGTTACATTAGAACTTTCCAAGAATGCCTGAAAATAGCTTGTTCTAAAATACCTCTGTTCCCTGGTCATCTTCATTTGCTTTTAATTCATTGATGATTCCTTTCTTAATAATCAAAGACAAGTTTCATACCAGCTTCAGTTCTGAAATCTGTCATATTTTCTGGCAAACATTGAAAGATGGACAGGATTTTTCTTTCGTATTGCTGTATCTTTCCATCAGATGGGCTTAGGGATATGTCGGGAAAGGACATTTAAAATGAGACTGGTAACATCATTAGTGTTTTAGAGTGATTTTATCAGAGCTTGCTTCTTCACTTTTTCCTGAGAATTTGTAACTTTTAGAATGCTTTTAGGTGCATCAAAAAGTTTTAATCAGAGTTCAGCCCTTTTTATAAGGGGACCCAGGAGTGATCTACCCTTAGTGATTTATTCATCTCCAGATTTATGTGAGGATAAAATGAAGTAATGTATATGGCCATACTCTATAAACTAGAACAAACTATGAACATTTATATACTATGAACTATTAAATTATTTGATGAAAATGCTTGTTTTCTGTAACATCATTTCCTTTTTTTAAACTTAGAAATGCCAAATAAATGTAATTAATATTTGTTAAATACCTAACAGGTGCCAATGAAAGTTTGATTAATAATTTAAGTGTTGGCTCAGTACCTGTGGCTCAAGTGGCTAAGGCGCCAGCCATGTACACCCAAGGTGGCAGGTTTGAATCCACCCTGGGCCTGCCAAACAACAATGATGGCTGCAACCAAAAAAAAAAAAAAAATAGCCAGGCATTGTGGCAGGCGCCTGTGGTCCCAGCTACTGGGGAGGCTGAGTCAGAAGACTCACTTGAGCCCAGGAGTTGGAGGTTACTGTGAGCTGTGATGCCCCAGCTCTCTACCCAGGGGTGACAGCTTGAGGCTCCTGTCTCAAAAAAATAAATAAGTAAAAATAATTTAAGTGTTAATTGTTCTATTAAGTAGAATAGTTGTTTCATTAAATGTTACTTATTGGCTGTGCCCATAGCTCAGTGGGTAGGGTGCCAGCCACATACACCGAGGCTAGCAGGTTCAAACCCAGCCTGGGCCAGCTAAGGCAACAATGACAACTGCAACAACAACAAAAATAGCCGGGCATTGTGGTAGGCACCTGTAGTCCCAGCTACTTGGGAGGCTAAAGCAAGAGAATTGTTTATGCCCCGGCATTTGAGTTTGCTGTGAGCTGTGATGCCACGGCAGTCTACCCAGGGCAACAGCTTGAGACTCTGTCTCAAAAAAGTTACTTATTTTTTCTCTTTTTAAAAGTATAAAAGTCATACATGAACATATTCTTTTTGTAAAAGATTCAAAGATGCTAAACATAAGGGAAAAATGAGAAAGGTCGTCTCTAACACCCCTTTTTTTTCCATGTCCAAAATTAGCCAACTGGGATGTACCTTTGTAGTTTGTTTTCTTTACATTTACATTTGTGTATATTGTGCTCCCTTAAAAAAAGGAATCATACTAAACTTTACGAATTTTGCAGCAGTGTAGATATATGTAGCTTTCTTTTCACGTATCTTGATCACTCACTGAACCCTTTAAACTGCAATGACATTTTTCCCTTGCCAGTAAGTCTTGGGTAGCTTACCATGTCAGTGCATGTGAATTGTCTTCATTATTTCGGACAAATGCACAGTATTTTCTAGTCTCTTACGTAATTTAAGGTGGAAGACCTGTGAAGACAGGGACCTTTGTCTATTTTATGTCCTGTGTCTTTAGCAGTGCTTGTTATTTGGTAGGAACTCAGTTAATATAATGAATGAGTAAATGATATATTTAACATATAGATTATTGTGGCTATTGATAATAACACCATTGTGAAAGTGCTCTCCTGTCCCTACTATTTATGTGACAGAGTCATTTTCTAGGGTAGCTATTCAGATATATTTTTGAGGACCTGGTGTCATCGTCTTCCAGTTTCTAGTGTTGCCAGTGAGAGCTGTCATTCCCATCTTAGTCTGGTTTCTTTGCAAACAACCTGTTTTTGCCTCTCAGAAAGGTTCTAGGACTTCTTTTCATCTCTGGTGCTCTGCAGGTTTACAGCAGTGGGCATAGATATAAGCTACATAGATCTGCATTTCCTTTATTTTGATCCCTGAACCCTTTAAACTGCAATGACGAAACTTGCCTCAGCTGTGGAAAATGTTTTTCTCTCCAGTCTTCTGTTGTTTCTTCTCTATCATTCTTTCTGTTCTATCCTTCTGAGATTCCTGTAAGATCACTGTTAAAACTTCTGAGTATATCTCCCATGCTTTTTTAACCTTTCTTTCTCACTTTCTGTCATTTCATGGAATTTGGGGCAGGAAGAGAGAAACCTAAATGTGTTGTGTTTGCCATCTTGATCGAGTTTTCTGACATGGGTCTTTTATCTTACAGGCTGCCTTTTTTTTTTCCATGTCTGTTTTTCTGTTTGTCTCAGCAGTCTGTTACTAAAGGAACGTGACTCATTTTATAATAATTGACAGAAGATTGATATTTACTTAGCATACTTTACAGTCATCATTTTTGGGAGATGCCTTTTTTTTTTTTAAAGTAATGATACCAATTTAAAAATTAGACTCTCTTACTTTGTGCTATTGGTAGTCAGCCCAGTTGCACTAAAAAATGTGTTGGTATCTTAATCACTCATCAGGTCTAGGCAGCTCCAAGCGCTGATAAAGGCCTTCTCCAGATGTCTAAATGTTAGCTCCAGGTGCAGTAAGCAGAATATTTGGAGTTGGCACATAAATTCTCAAATACAAAGCATGAGTACAAAGTTGTAGGTTCTGATCTCCTGGAGCAGCGGTTCTCAACCTATGGGTCACAACCCACAGGAACTGTATTAAAGGGCCGCGGCATTAGGAAGGTTGAGAACCACTGTCCTAGAGTAATGGTTATTAAACCTGGTCCAGTATCAGAATCACCTGTGGTGCTTTTTTTTTTTTTTTTTTTTTTGAGACAGAGCCTCAAGCTGTCCCCCTGGGTAGAGTGCCATGGCATTACAGCTTACAGCAACCTCCAACTCCTGGGCTCAAGCGAGTCTCCCGCCTCCGCCTCCCAAGTAGCTGGGACCACAGGCGCCCGCCACAACGCCCGGCTATTTTTTGGTTGCAGCCGTCATTGTTGTTTGGCGGGTCCGGGCTGGGGATTCGAACCCGCCACCTTAGGTGTACGTGGCTGGCGCCTTAGCCGGTTGAGCTATAGGCGCCCAGCCACCTGTGGTGCTTTGTAAACAGGACCCAGGCCCTCTAATGGACCTGTTAAATCAAAATTCGGAGGCAGTAGGGCTGGGCATCTATATATCTCCGAATATAGGTTATTCTGATGCCCAGCCAAGGATGAAAACCATTATTCTTATCCTCTATATGTATTTTCTTTTTGTATGTATTTTTCACTCTTCTTACCCTTTGTAAATATTTTCTCTTACTCATGCCTCAGTTTTTACAAAAATGACTATACAGCATTCTTTGATATAGATGTGTTATAATTCATTTAGCTGGCCCCCATTAGATGTTTAATATGCTTCCAGTCATTTGTTATTACAAATTACAATAATAATTTCCTTGTATATGTAACGGTAATCTGTGAATATATTTATGGGATAAATTTCTAGAAATAGAAGTGTTCAGACAAATGGTATATATATTTGTGAATCTGAGAGACATATTTTGTTTATTTTTTCTAATTTTTTAATTAAAATTACATATAACATAAAATTTACTATCATAACTATTTTTAAGTGTGTAGTTGAATGATATTAAATACATTCATAAGCTTGTATAACCGTTATCACCATCCATCTCCAGAACTGTTTTCATCTTATAAAACTGAAACTTTGTACCCATAAACAGTACCTCCCCCTTTCCTTCTCTCCCCAGCTCCTGCCAGCCAACATTCTACTGTTTGTCTCTATGAATTTGACCACACTAAGTACTTCACATAAGTGGAATTATAGATTTGTCTTTTTGTGAATGGTTTATTTCATTTAGTATGATGTCTTCAAGGTTGATCCATGTTGCAGCATCTGTCAAATTTTTCCTACCTTTCTAAGGCTGAATAATAGTCTGTTGTACATAAATACTAAATTTTGCTTATCCATTCATCCATCAGTAGGCATTTGGAACCCGTAGCTTAATGGGTAAGATGCCGGCCGCATACACCCAGGCTGGCAGGTTTGAACCCAGCCCGGGCCTGCTAAACAACAATGACAACTGCAACAAAAAAATAGCGGGGTGTTGTGGCAGGCGCCTATAGTCCTAGCTACTGGGAGGCTGGGGCAAGAGAATCACTTAAGCCCAAGTGTTTGAGGTTGCTGTGAGCTGTGACAGAGTGAGACTCTGTCTCAAAAAAAAAGAAAAAAAAAAAAGAATCTATTTTCAGTTTGGGGTGTTATATACCCAGAAGTGGAATTGCTGAATCATATGGTAATTCTTTTTTTTTTTTTTTTGAGGAACCACCATACTGATTTCCACTTGGCTGTGCCATTTACATCCCTGCTAACAGTATACAAGGGTTCTGATTTTGCACATCCTCACCAACACTTACTGTTTTCTATAATTTTTGTTTTTGGTACTAGTCCTTCTAATGGGATGGGGTGAAATTTAATTAAAGCTTTGATTTGTATTTCCCTAATGATCTGTGATGCTCATGTTCTTATTTAAGGCCATTTGTACATCTTTATAGAAATGTCTATTCAAGTCCTGTGCCCATTTTTTAATTGGGTTTTATTTTTGAATTTTACAAATTCTGTATAGATGGCTACTAATCCCTTATATGTTTAATATATGATTTGCAAATACTTGAGGTTTTAATCTGTGAAAACATACCTTCTAATCCCCAGGTGCTATGTTCTTAGGCTAAAAATATTCTTAAATATGCTTAAATCTGGAAAATCCTTACATCTTGTTTTCATTTCTACCTAGGCCAGTACTAAAGTGGAAGTGGACATGGAGAAAGCCGAGAGCCTGCAGGTGACAAGAGGAGACTTCCTTGCTTCTTTGGAGAATGATATCAAACCAGTGAGTATGAATATTGAGTGATGTATTATGTTGGTAAAAAATAATAATAATAATTCAGGAGTAAAATAAATATTATTTTACCCAGAAAAGGTTGTATCATATGTAGTTTTACAAAATGAGAAAATTTTAGTCTTGAACGTGTCCAATATAAGAAACATCTATCCAGTAAACATAATGGCCAGATGATTAACTGATACTTAACTAATTATTTCTCATAATAGGGAGCTTACCATCTTATAAGACAGTTCATTCAATTTTGAGACTTTCTAATTATTAGGTTTTACTTTATATTGAAGTAGGATTAGTTTTCTTATCAGTTCTTCTATAATCCCAAGCTACAGAAACCTAAATTCAGTCCATCCTCCATATGTCAGTTATTATATTTAAAATTAACTTTATACCTTCCTCTCTCTCTTTCTCTCCTTTCTCCATCCTTTTCCAAGGCATCCCTTTCTCTTGCTCTGTGCCTTTGTTTTTCTGACTGCTATAGTTTCTAAGATTCTTGACTATCCTTGATATCCTTTTTTTAAAAAAAGGAATAATTTTCTTAAAATATAGTCAAAATAGTCATAGTTGAAGCTTCAAAATGCAGTATAAGGTCATCAACCCATTTTTCTATAAAAGAACAACTAACATTTGAGTAACTATTGTTTGGAGTTCTATATTAGCATAAAAACAAATCATAGAAAAGCCCAGTTCTTAAGAACCGCAGGTGCATGAAATTAGATTAATCTTAAATACATGACACACTATTGTCAATTAGTCTATATTTATCTTATATAAACACCATCCACCTCTAAAACTCTTTTCATCTTGTAAAACTGAAATGCTACATGACTCCCCATCTTTCCCTCCTCCACAATCCCTGGCAGCCACTGTTCTGTCTAAGTACCTCCTATAAGTGGAATCATACAGTATTTGTCTTTTTGTGACTGGTTTATTTCCCTTAGCATGGTGTCTTCAAGGTTGATCCATGTTGCAACACATGTCAAAATTTTCTTTCTTTTTAAGGCTGAATAATAGTCTGTTGTATGTATATACTAAATTTTGCTTATCCATTTATCCATCAGTGGGCATTTAGGTTCCTCCCACATTTTTGCTGTTGTGAATAAAACTGCTGTCAACATAGCTGTACAAATATCTCTTCAAGACCTTTCTGTTCTTTTGGGTATATATCTAGAATTGGAATTGCTGAATAATATGGTAATTCTATTTTTAATTTTTTGAAAAACCGCCATATGATTTCCACACTGGCCATACCATTTTATATTCCTGCCAATAGTGCACAAAGATTCTGATTTCTTCACATCCTTGCCAACACTTATTATTTTCTATTTATTGGTAGTGTCCCTCCTCATGAGCATGAGGTGAAATTTAATTATAGTTTTGATTTGCATTTCCCTAATGATTAGTGATGTTGAGCAGCTTTTCATATGCTTATCAGCTGTTTGTTGTATATTCCTGTCAATAATCATTTATCACAAGTATCTCCTTTAGAGATAAAAGTCAATTTGCTTTAGCCCTGTTTTTAAGACTATTATGACTTTTAAATATAAAATAAATACTTTCAAAAAGTTACTAAGCAGTTCTCAGATTTTTCTCTTAATGGCAAGTAATCTTGCTGTGAGGAAGTAAGAATTCAGAAATTGCTTTTATTTTTTCCGAAGGTCTAGAGAATAAGCAAAAAGTGAAATGAAGGGATGTGTGCGTAAGTCATCCAGAGTCACCATTATAATTATAGTTCCAGCGTCTTAAATATTCTGCCTTGAGACTTAGAGTATATACCTGGAACAATTAAAGACAAAGCCAGCCAACCTACAAATTTCCTAGAACAACCATTTAACCCGTATTGATTAGGTCCTTCCTTTATCCCTTTTTATAAGGGCCACTGAATTTGCCACATCCAGACCAAAGAATAAGGACTTTTCCTCTTTACTCAGAAATCAAAAGACTGTAGTGTATGCACGGACACCACCCAAACAGTGGTCTGCAAGTGTTTTTGTGTCGAAGTAATAGGACTTGAGACTACTGGATACTGTTTGAGAAGCATTATTACAAAATTAACTTTCTATGAGGTGTAAGTTCTAAAGAACTATTACAATTATTCCATACATCAGCTAATCAAAAATTGGCTTTTTGAGAAATGTGATAATGTTTAAAAAGTTGAAATTCTCAAGAAACGTGACCTTTACTTATATATTGGTTATGTTTTCCTACTTATTTATTCTGTTGTTAGCCTTATGAAACTCTAATTCAATTGTAATTACTAATGTTATTGTCTACTTTTGGCAACTATGTTAATGGGAGTTATAATCTTTGAGATTAGAAATTGAAAATGAAGGATTTGATTTAAGCCCTAATGTAGTGAACACAAATAAAACTATATATAGTAATTCTTTTATTTCTGTTTCCTAACCCTTTGCTTACAGCTGCTCATTTCTGTCTCATTCTTGTTTTGGTTTGGTTTGGTTTGGTTTTTAGAAGCAGCGTCTCACTCTGTTGCCTAGGCTAGAGTGCCATAGCCTTAGCCTAGCTTACAGCAATCTCAAACTCAAACTCCTGGGCTCAAGTGGTCCTCAGCCTCCCAAATAGCTAGGACTACAGGAGACCACCACAATGGGCTCCTACTTTTTCTGTCTAGTAGAAACAGTTTCTCACCTTGCTCAGGCTGATCTCAAACTCCTGAGCACAAACAATCCTCCCTCCTTGGCCTCCCAGATTAAGGATTATAGGCGGGAACCACTGTGCCCAGCCCTTTTCTGTCTCATTCTAAATCATTTATTTACATGAGGGGGTCCTCAAACTTTTTAAACCGGGGGCCAGTTCACTGTCCCTCAGACCGTTGGAGGGCCGGACTGCGGGCCCTGAGATAAGTCAGCTGCTAAGCAAGACAGGCAGCGGTGGCAAAAACATCCAGCAGGCCGGATAAATGTCCTAGGTGGGCCGCATATGGCCTGGAGGCCTACAGACTTACCTTAGTGCCATTTAACTCAACCCCTACCACAAAGTCAGTGTCTTCTCTTTACCATTTTATATTCCCATTTTAATTGATAGCACCTACAGTCAGTGTTAGGATGGTATATTGTCTGCTCAGCCATTTCTAACTTCTAAGTCCATAATCCCTTTTTTAATTTGTTCTTAACAGAAAGGCCACAAACTACATACTCTTTGTAGAAATGAGTACTTTGAAAGATACACTTTCTGTCAGGAATTATGATTTGGGGTCATATCAAAACCTAGAATCTATTGTTTTTATTGCATTAGCAGCTTTCTTTTTTCCTAGTGGGTAAAAGTTAAATGAGAAATTGTAAAATCATTTTTTTCTTTCTAAGTTTTTTACATGAGTATGAGATAGTGCTTAACACTTTCAGTGTGTAGGAACTATTACTCCTCTTTTGTTAAATATTTTAGCTTTGAACATCACTGTTAATAATGCTTTAAACTATTCTTTTCCTCAATAGGCATTTGGTACAAACCAAGAGGATTATGCAAGTTACATTATGAATGGTATCATCAAATGGGGTGACCCAGTTACCCGAGTTCTAGATGATGGGGAGCTGCTGGTTCAGCAGACAAAGAATAGTGACCGCACACCATTGGTTAGCGTCCTTTTGGAAGGTAAGAATGAATGATAACATAACATTAAGGTAAAAAAAAAAAAAAAAAGACATTTTTTAAAAGCCATCTACCATATTCTAGAAAAGTAAATTATCATCAGTTTTTAACCTTGTTCATGATTTGAAAATAGTGATCTAGGATATATACCAATATTATGTACAAATTAAAATTCTCTTGGGGTGGAATGTCACTGGTCACTGATAGCAACAAGTTTCTGTAGTACTTGACAGACTGAATGATACCACAGAGCACTCAATTCAGTAAATTAATATTTACTGAGTACTTGCTATGTTTTAGTCATTGAACTAGTTGCTGGGGATATAGAGACATTCAAGTGTTCAGTCTGGCCATGAAAAAAGACTTGTAAAGAAATTCCTAACTATAGTGTGTTTGTGTAAATGTATGTATGAGTGCAAGTTATTTTGCTTAGGCATATTCAGGGAGAGCTACAGATGATGCTTAATTTAGCCTTGAAGGGATCAATTAGGATTTTATTAAATAAACAAAAAGGAAGGACATTCCATTTACAGATCATTAATTTACAGTCAACAGATTAGTACAACAGAAAAATTCAGTGAGGCCACATGATAGGGGAACCTAACCCCTTCCAAAGGTCAAGGGTTGAAAGCTCCCTGAGAGGAACATATTAAGCCAGGGCCTGAAGGATGAGGAGAAGCTGGCCAATGTGATTGGAAAAGATGTTCTAGGCAGAGGGACCAGCATGTGAAAAAGTTGTGGGAAGGAAGAAGCTTGACAGTAGCCAGTTCACACAAAGCCTTGTAGGCTGTGTTAAACTATTTAGACTGTATCTTGGGAGCAATGGAAAGCCATTTGTGAAGTTTTAAGTGGTGAAGTCACATGATCAGATTCCTGTTTTTCAAAACCTCATCATGTCTGCTTTGTGATAGAGAATGGATTATAGGGGCAAAAAGATACAGTAGGAACTAATGGTTAGAAACAGTTGTGTCGGGCCTAATAAGAATTGATTGTGATTTGAAGTAATGTGGTGGTAACAGAGATGGAGATAAGTGGAGTAATTTGAGAAATATTTAAGAGGTAGAACAAAAAAACTTAATAATTATTATCAATCATACTTAAGCTAACATTCCTTGAGCACTTACTATCTGCCAGCTACTCTTCTAGCACTTTTATACACATTTTCTCATTTAAACCTCACTTTAACCCTATGAGCATGGATGCTATTTTGTTTCTAAGCTGAAGCTTAGAAATATTGGGTAAAGGCTGGGAGTGGTGGCTCACACCTCTAATCCTAGCATTCTGGGAGACCAAGGCAGGAGGAGGACTGCTTGATCTCAGGAGTTCGAGACCAGCCTGAACAAGAGCAAGACCCTGTCTCTACTAAAAATAGAAAAATCAGCCCGGCATTATGGTGACCTTTAGTCCCAGTTACCTGGGAGACTGAGACAGGAAGATCGTTTGAACCCAGGAGTTGTGGTGAGCTATGCTGAGGTCATGGTGCTCTAGCATGAACAACAGAATGAGACTCTGTCTCAAAAAAAAAAAAGAAAGAAATAAAAGAAATATTACATAGATTAAATATGGGCAGAGGTGTCAAATATGACCCCCAGTTTTCTGACATCATCGGTGTGAGCCACCACCCCTAAGATTGGGAATACCAGTACACAAGCAGATTTCTAAAGGAAAGCTTATGAGTTCTGTTTTGAACATGTTAAATTCTAGGTTCATATAGGATAATTGAATTGGAAATGTTGAGTATTCTGTTGGATATGTGGATCTATCACTCAGAAGACAGGTCTGAGTTGTCAGTATATAGATTGCCATTGAAGCCATGGGAATGGATGAAGCCATTTACAGAAAAGATATGGGTTGAGATGAAGAGAAGGCCTACAACTTATCTTGGAAATATGTTAACATTTAGGGAGTAAATAGAAGCGACAGAGTTGACAAAGGAGACTGAGCAAGAGTAACCAGTGAGGGAAGAGGGAGGAAAAGAGAATGAGCTGTCACGGAAGGCAAAAAAAGAAAAGAAACTTATTTCAAGAAAGAGGAGAGTTATGAATTTTATCAAATGCTTCCAAGAGGCTGACAAAAATACTGTCTGTTGGGTTGGTAACATGAAGGTCATTGGTGGGGAGCCTGCTCAGTGATGTGGGGGGTGGGAGCCATGACGTGGTGAGGGTATAACGGAGGGAAGAGTGAAGGCAGTCAGGGTGGGTAATTATTTAGGGAAGTTACCTTTTGAAGGGAGAAAAATGGTACTGTTAAGGGTTGTGAAGTCCAGAAAGAGGTTTGCTTTTGTTTAGTAAATGGTCAGGTAGACCAGAGCATGTTTAAATGCTTTTGGAAAGACTTTAGGGAAGAGGAAGAAGACGAGCAGAGAGAGAGAGGGGAACAATCAGTAGTGTTAGGTTCCTGAGAAGATGGCAAGGAGGATTTGGTTGGTTTGTGGTTAGAAGAGGGACACATCGTCCAGTGCACAGAAGGGAAGGGAGGGGATGTCTAAATGCAGGGCTGGCCTTTATGAGAAGGCCTAAGTCTTTAGAATTCTAGCTTTTTAATAAGGGAGTTATGCTTCTAATAAGGCAGTTTTTTCCTGCACCTAATACCATCTCCTAAGAAGACTGCATTGTTTGTTAGACAGTTTGATAGAATTTACAAGTACTGTACTGATATGCATCTGAATGTATTTTCTCTCTTTTTTTTAAAAAAAAGCAAAAACCTTATACTTTATATAGTTAGCCAGAAGTTTGAAAGATTAAGGCTGTGTGAGAGAATACGAAGGTATGTATTTCACCATACTCTTGAGAAATGCTAATCAGTGCATTAAGTTTAGTTGCTAATAAATAAGAGAAAACATGTCTGCTGTGAAATTGTGTCAGGAAATGTTAATGAGCAACTAGTTGAGACCTCAGAACATCGTGGATAAAAGTTTAAACTTGTTTTATTTCCCTTTGCTTAGGTTGGCTTTTTTCCTCTGACTTGCTCATATTTTTATGCAGGCCCTCCTCATAGTGGGAAGACTGCTTTAGCTGCAAAAATTGCAGAGGAATCCAACTTCCCCTTCATCAAGATCTGTTCTCCTGATAAGATGATTGGCTTTTCTGAGACAGCCAAATGTCAGGCCATGAAGAAGGTATCAAGATTTTTACATTAATTAATTTCCTATCTCTTAGATGTGTATGTGTGTGTATACATGTAAATATGAAAAAACCATAGCAACTACATTCTTCTCAAGTAGAACTAAATTATCAGCAGAATTTGGGAGTGGGGGTGGGGGACAGTGACTGTTTTAGATTTTTTAACTTTGTAATGCATTTTTACCTTTGCCTTCCAAATTATGCTTTTGTTTATACATATTAATTTTCATTTCCTAAGTTTGTTATTTCAACTTGATTGAAAGAATCATAATTAAGAATGTTGATAGAGGGTGGTGCCCGTAGCTCAGTGGGTAGGGCACCAGCCACAAACACCAAGGCCGGAGGGTTCAAACCCAGCCCTGGGCCAACTAAAACAACAATGACAACTGCAACAAAAAAAAATAGCCAGGTGTTGTGGCGGGTGCCTATAGTCCCAGCAACTTGGGAGGCTGAAGCAAGAGAATGGCTTGAGCCCAAGAGTTTGAGTTTGGTGTGAGCTATGACGCCAGGGTGCTCTACCCAGGACAACAGCTTGAGACTGCCTCAAAAAAAAAAAAAAAAAAATGTCGATACAGTAGAACAAATGCATGTAGGATTTTTTTTTAAGTTCTTTCATTATTGTACAGAGTCAAACCATTTGGGGTCAGTTAATTTGACTACAGAGTTTGAGAAAGGACAGAGATGTACCATTGGAAAAATATTCACAGAAACCCCTACAAAAGGATAATTGTACACTCGGTGATAATCAGAGTCTACAGGGCAACTTAATGTAGTCCTGATCATCTTCCTTTCTCCAGCTGCATTTGGTACCTTATTAATATAGCCACTTTCAACAATGAAGTTAGAACAATATAGAATAGAATCCTAGGGCTGAAAGAGCTATAAGATCATCTAGTCCATATCTTATACTCAGGCAAGTGCCATGGAAGGCATCTTTTTAAAAAAAAAAAAAAAAAAGCAGCAACAGCAATAAAAATCAAAGATGAAGACATTTTGGTGTGTGTGTGCAGTTTTTGGCCAGGGCTGGGTTTGAACCCTGGCATATGGGGCCGGTGCCCTACTCCTTTGAGCCACAGGCACTGCCCCTAAAGATGAAGACTTTTGACAGCTGTTTCATCTCACTTGATAGCCCATGTTTCCATTGATAATCTAATTTTACATATTCCCAGACAGTAAAGAAATTAATTTTTCCATCCAGCTAAAGTATTTCTTTTTCTTACACCCTTTTTTTTTCTATGCTTGACCTTTTATAGATATGAACTGGCGATAAGTTCAAGAGTTGTTGAGAAAATCAGAATTAAGGAAAAGAATCTTGAGAATTGAAATGCTTTCCCTTGACTTGCTCATATTTTTATGGAGCCCCTCCTCATAGTGGGAAGACTGTTTTAGCAGCTCAGGGCATTCTTTCATTTTATTCTTAGGCCCTCACTCTATAGAAATGTAGTGTAGCATTAATTCAGTTTATCTTTAGGAAAGAGACTGGAGAGGAAAAATATGTTTAAAAAGAAGACTTCCAAAAAGTGTTAAGAAGTTACTTTAGGCCGGTTCAGTGACTCAATCCTGTAATCCTAGCACTCTGGGAGGCTAAGGTGGGAGGATGACTCAAGGTCAGGAGTTCAAGACCAGCCTGAGAAAAACAAGACCTCATCTCTACTAAAAATAGGAAAATTAGCTGGACATAATGGTACTCGCCTATAATCTTAGCTACTTGGGAGGCTGAGGCAGGAAGATCGCTTAAACCCAAGAGTTTGAGGTTGCCGTAACCTAGGCTGATGCCGTGACAGTCTAGTCCAGACAACAGAGTGAGACTGTCTTCAAAAAAAAAGGGGGGGTTGGCACTGTGGCTCAAGCAGCTAAGGCGCCAGCCACATACACCTGAGCTGGTGGGTTCGAATCTAGCCTGGGCCCACCAAAGAACTATGACGGCTGCAACCAAAAAATAGCCAGGCATTGTGGTGGGTGCCTGTAAGAGACGCAAGAGAATCGCTTAAGCCCAGGAGTTGGAGGTTGCTGTGAGCTGTGATGCCATGGTACTCTACCCAGGGTGACAGCTTGAGGCTCTGTCTCAAAAAAGAAAGAAAGAATAGAATAGAATAAAAAAAAGAAAGAAGAAGTTGTTGCTCAGGTAGTTGTTTGCACAGGTAGCAGAAAATTGTTTTTGCAGGTTGCTTGGAATAGAGGAGGCAGAACTTATAGCAGGATTCCAGCAGTACACACTGAAATGTCAAGATAAATATTCTACACAAAAATCTTTGAATTTGAGTGTGAAAGAGAGGGAAATGTTGTCAGACACAAAAAAAAAAAAACTTAGAGTATCATAGTCTGTTTTTCTGTTTCTGAGGTGAACCCAGTAGTAGCTGCCCTTCCCTGGAATATCTGGGTAGAACAACTTGGGACCAGTAATTCCCTCAGAGTAGGTAGGGGTTCTTTTTCTTTGTTTTCCATTTTCCCTCTATGGGGTCCCCTTAAGCCACTTCTTCTAATGAAATTTGTATAATAGCGCTTGGGATTTCTAGCCATTGAATGTCCCATTTATTGATTGATTAGCTAATTCTGTTTGTATTTCCCTCATTTATTCCTAATACTGTTCAAAAGTAGTAGTCCTCTTTGTAAACGGTCAATTACTTCATTGCTTTCCACCAGCTGCAGGCATGTACCTCAGATGTACTCGGAGATGTGGGTGGATGGCCCTAGTTTTTCTATAAAGTTTTTTAAAAGTACTTTAGGCTTCTGCAGATCAAAGCTGCTTTGTAAATGAGAGATATTATCATTTTTATTATTTTAATCTCTTGCAAATTGACTTGAGGGGGGAAGGTAATATGTGCTGATTTTAGAGGCTTAAATGGTTAAATTAATGGCTTAATCACTTATGATTTAATCTTTAAATTGTCGAAGCCTTTCAAGGTAGAGTTTTAGACGAGTAGAAGGCTAAGGAATATAAAAATAAGTGGCTACACAAGCTTATTCAAAATTGTTTAGATTCATGATTCACTGTCTGGATCATCCACGTACTCTTAATGTTACAAAAATTATTTCTGCTTCAGCAGGATAATAAATTCGTATTAGGCTTTTTGGTTTTCCTTGGGGGAAAAAATATTATTCCCTGCAACTGAAGCTCAGAAAAGAGAAAAAGAATGAAGCATAGGTGTCTTAGAAATATATTAGAAATATTACAAAATCTTCCCCTGCAAATAGTTTTCACATTGTTACTTAATGATAGGTTGACAAAAGCCCGAGGGCTCAAACCAGTCTAAAGATGCTAAGTCTTCCAGGTTCTTTTTGAAAATGAAATACAAATGCCATTCTTGAGTATAAGTTCTAGTCTGCCTCCTACTACATCATTTGTAGTGTGAAGATGCAAAGATGTTTTAATTTTTTTTCAGAGCACAAATAATTTGTAAAATTTTATCATCCCAAAGAAAAGTTGTTTTTTTATTCCTTATAGGTGCTCCACTCCCAAAATATGTAGCTTTTTTTATTACAAAAATGATTTATAAAATATAGAAAAGAAAAGAAAAATAAATCCATATTTGTACTTGTCCTTCAATTCCCTTTTCTACTCAGACATGTGCACACACACCTTTATACATGGGGTAACATTGAATATAGTGTTATAAACCAGCTTTCTTCCACTTAAAAATTGTGAACTGCTTTCACTGTCACTAAAACTTATCTCAATATTATGTTCAGTTAATAGCTGCATAATATTCATTTCAACAATCCCCTTTCATTGGATATTTAGATTGTTTCCAGTTTTTGTCACAAATTACAAATAATATTCCACAGAGCTACAAAACTAGAAAAATTATTGCCCTTCATTTTATTATTAGCATTTTCTTAGACACAGTAGCATCATATGGCTTAGAAACTGGGCTTAGGACTCAAAGAGGTCTGAATTTGAATCTCATCTCCACCACATTTACCAGCTCTATGACCTCAGATAAGTCATTTAACCTCTAACCCTCTGTTTTCTCATGTGTAAAATGAAGATCATATTAATAGCTGCATCATAGGGTTACTGTAAGAATTAAATGACATGGTAATTGATGTAAAGTATGGCATAGTGCCAGGGACATAATATGTACTCAGTAAAGTAGTGGTTATTTTTACCACATCATTTTTTTTTTTTTTTGAGACAGAGCCTGAAGCTGTCACCCTGGGTAGAGTGCTATGGCATCACAGCTCACAGCAACCTCTAACTCCTGGGCTTAAGCGAGTCTCCTGCCTCCGCCTCCCAAGTAGCTGGGACTGCAGGCGCCCACCACAATGCCCGGCTGTTTTTTGGTTGCAGTCATTGTTGTTTGGCGAGCCCAGGCTGGATTCGAACCCGCCAGCTCAGGTGTAGATGGCTGACGCCTTAGCCACTTGAGCCACAGGCGCCGAGCCTTTACTACATTATTATTGAACATACATTTCTGATTGCTTCCTTAGTTTAAATTCTCAGAATTGGGATTGATTGCCAAAGTAAAAAATACTAACATGTCAAAGATTTTTTGGTATATATTGCTATCAAAACTCTTATGTAAAAATGATTTTTAAAGCTCATCCCTTCAGAAAGTTGTACCAACTTACACTTATAACACCATCATATGAGAACATAAGCTCCCTGGGATTTTTCACCCACATTTGACATGTTAAAATATTTTTTGGCAAGTTGATAGGGAAAGGGTTGACGTTCAGTTATTTCTTTAGCTACATTTTAATGACTAAATGCTCAGTTTTAAAGATTTTTCAGTATGTTTTGCATGACAGTAGTTTGTGAAGCTCAGAAATACTATAGCACATTAATTTCTGTTAAAGATAGGTCGTCTGAGTTAGTTAATTCATCTAGCATCTTTATATAACATTTTATTACTTAAACTAACAGATAAGAGTTTTTGTTGGCAAAGAAGGCTGTTAGCTTGCTTTAATAAGTATGTAAGATTTCACCGTAATTACATTATTGCTTCTTTTTTGCAAGTGGGTGGTGCTAAAATGCATAAAAGTAGTTCCTTCT